GTTTAATAAATTGTAGTGTTGTTAATGGATATTAGGCCCTATTTATTTTGGGGTGTAGAGGGTGGGATGGGATTCGGATGGAAGTAGGGCCCATTTAGTGTTGTGTTTGTTTGTAAAGTTGAGAAAGAGATTAAGATGGAGAAGAAGATTAAGATGGAGGTGAGAAAGGGGATTGGGATGGAGGAGGTGGAGGTAGAGGTGGTATTAGAAAAATAGTGAGGGGACTAGAAATTTTTTTATTTTTTACATGTTGGGCATTTTTTATGAACATTAATGTTTAATTTTTTGTATTTTTTTTATTTGTTTTATTATTTATATAAAAATAATTTAACAATTCCTATGCTAACAACTATCATCAAAACAAACACAATTTTACTTAATCCCTCACTATTAATCCCCTCACTATGAATCTCATCCATTCTACCTTTGAAAATAAACGGGACCTTAATTTTCATATTCACTGGTTGGAATTAAAATATTCATAATTTTGGGTATTGTTTAATAGTTTGGATCATCAAAATTCATTTTAAAATGAATTTATCAAATTCAAACGTTCTCTTAAATTGAGATCACAACTTAAGGGAAGCCAAACCCTTTTTATTTATTTATAACCTATCTCCCTATATTTTAACATATCTATCCAAATTATTTTAATTTATTTGTCCTAATATTTTTATTTATTTGTTCAAATTATATTAACTTTTTTGTTGCCCTCATTTGGACAAATAGGTACTTGAAGCTTAAAGTAAAAAACAAATCATTTATGATTTTAAAATTTCAACATGTCATAATTTTACAAGTCCTTTTTGAATGATATATTTTTTATTTCATAGATTTTTTCGTAGGATTTTAGTTTAAAGTCCTAATATTAAGATTTTATGAGATACAGAACATATAATATTTTCATAATAGTTGGAGTCCCTCAATATTTTCACAGAAAAATTTCAGTACAAGGTTCAAAGTAAAATTTTATAGAGAAATTTCAACTTCACAGAAAAATTTTAGCTTGTAATATTATTAAGCAACATTAACTAATAAGAAAAAATATATCGAATTTCTCTAACTATCAAAAGTTGGAAAGAGATGTTTTACTGATTTATCCTTTTTCAAAACCTATCCATCTGAAATTGGTGAAGGCAATTTTGAGCATTTACTTTTACAAAAAATTCATACTTCGCAGTTTTGATTGATCGAAAAATCATTTTGTTCACTTTTTTTTTAAAAAAAATTATATTTAATATTAATATTTTTTGAAAAATATCAAAAGAAACGAATATACATATATGAATTTTATTAAAAACAAATCTATAAAACTCAAATTATGAGATTTTAAATTTTTCTAATACAAAATAAATTTGTTTAACAAAAAATATGTCCTAATGGCCTTAAAAATTGGGGGAGTTACATCCCAATGGCACATATATTTTTTGTTTTTTAGTTTTTTTTAATATGCCTTGCACCAACAACATTTCACTTCCATCTTATCACAAATTACTTGCACTCTACATATTTTTGTAATTTTTTTAATTTTTTCTACTGTGTTGTAATTCTTCCTTAAAAATTTAGCACATGAAAGAATTTCTAAATAAAATTAAAAAATGAATAATATTTGGTGGTCTGAAAATATACAACTCGAATGACTCGAAAATGACAAAACAACGTGATTTTAGATATTTCAAACCATTCGAACCACAAATTTTCAGACCACCAACTAATGCTGTTAAAAAATATATTTACAACTTGAGCCCTCGTAACAAAATAGTACGAATTGAAATTAAAAAAATTATTTTTAAAAATTCTAAACTAAACAAACAGCAACTCGTGAAAGTCATGCCAGTGCCCAATTATTAACACGGTTTCACAAGGCCCCACAGTATGGTTGTTGAAGGGGTCCACACTGAAATCACACCACACCGAGTGTTCAACTCTGGTGTGCTACATTGACGGCCACTTAGATTTAACTCCTCTTTCAATCAGAGACCACTTATTGTTTCCTTCTCATCTCTCAAAAATTCTTCTTTTTTGATCATCTACTAGGGTTACTGGTACCAAATATCAAAGATATGTCTGATTTAAGTGCTGATGATGCAATTTCAAGCGTTGTGATTGAATCTGAGTACTCATGCCGTTGCTTTTCACTAGCTGAGATACAATCAATCACCAACAATTTTAATGAAGAATTAGTTATTGGGAGTGGCGGATTTGGAAAGGTATACAAGGGGTTCATCGACAACGGTGCTACAGCTGTTGCCATAAAGAGGTTGAAAGCAGAGTCCAAACAAGGCGCAGAGGAGTTCTGGACTGAGGTCAAGATGTTGTCTAAGCTCCGACACACTCATCTTGTTGCTCTGATCGGCCAATGCAGCGACTGCCAAGAAATGATCCTTGTTTACGAATACATGGCTCGTGGGACCCTAGCCGATCATCTCTATAAAACAACTAGAAACCAAACTGAAATTACTACTTTTCATCTCACATGGGAGGAAAGGCTCCACATTTGCATCGGTGCAGCACGAGGGTTAGACTACCTTCATACTGGTACCGATCAAAGTTTCATACACCGAGATGTGAAGACTACAAATATTCTGTTAAATGGGAAATGTGTAGCCAAGATTTCAGATTTTGGGCTATCTAAGAGCCCTGCAAGCCATTCAGCAACCCATGTTAGCACATTCGTCAAAGGTACATTTGGGTATTTTGATCCAGATTATTTCTATACCCGCAGACTAACCAAGAAATCTGATGTCTATGCCTTTGGTGTGGTGTTGATGGAAGTTCTCTGCGGGAGGCCGCCGGTGGATACAAGACTCGAGGAGGAGGAAATTAGTTTAATCCTTTGGGCTCAACGACACATTAAAAAGGGAAAGGTTGATCGAATCATTGATCCCTCATTGATTGGGCAAATAGCACCACAAAGTCTAAAGTACTTTGTAGAAGTTGCCAACAATTGTTTACATGCTGGTTCAAAGGAAAGGCCTACAATGGCTGAAGTGGTGGGGACTCTTGATCTTGCATTGTTGTCACAACGTAAAGGACAATCAAGGGGAATGATCGGAAATGTGCTTCAGGGTATTGCAACTGTGCCTAAAGGTATGAATCGTTGGTGGAGGGAGAGAAAGGAGAATGGTTTTAAGAGCGGACCATCAAATGATTCATTTTGGGAACCACTTCCAGATAGTGTCACCCGACAATTCCGCCGCTTCTCACTAGCTGATATTCGAGCAGCCACAAATGATTTCAGTAAGGATCGTTTGATCGGAGAAGGTGGGTTTGGCAAGGTGTACAAAGGGTATTTGGATGTGGAAACTGGTATTGTTGCGATCAAAATGTTGGCGACGTTGCAATCAAGGCAAGCCCGGAAAGCAGCTACGGTTGAGATTGAGGTACACTCCCTACTCGACAGTCACCCCCACATAGTCTCTCCAATTGGATTCTGCAATGAGAAATCACAGTTAATCGGCGTGTATGATTACATGACAAATGGATCCTTGGAAGATCATTTATTCAACATGAACAGCGATCCACTTTTGTGGAAAGAGCGACTCAAGATTTGCATTGGTGTAGCAAGAGGACTACAACATCTCCATTCAAGTGTGAAGCATGGAGTTATCCACCGTGACGTAAGGCCAGCCAATATTCTGTTGGACGAGAATTGGGTTGCAAAAGTTACTGATTTTGCACTCTCTAAACTAATACCCAATGACATTGCAAATGAATCATTTTCTACAAGGATTTGTGGCACTTTAGGATATATAGCACCAGAGCATGTTATGTATGGAAAACTGACAAAAAAATCAGACGTGTACTCGTTTGGTATGGTGTTGTTGGTATTATTGTGTGCCAAGAAGCCAACTACTTCCAGCCCGAATGAAGGTGAGGAGTCCCTTGACCGTTGGTTCAAAAGTAGCTGCAAAAGAGGAACCATTGATCAAGTCATTGATCCATATCTGATTGGGAAAATAGCACCAGAATGCTTCAAGGAGTTTGTCAAGATTGCATTGAGTTGTATTCTTTTTCAGGTAATCCAACGACCCTCGATGAATGATGTGGTAACGAGTCTCCAGTTAGCATTGCAATTGCAGGAGACTTGGGAGACTCGTATCGAGATTGGTGTTGAGTTATCTATGACCGAACCTAGTTCTTACAACAACGTCTTCTCTATTGATGAACTGAGCAACAACGTCTTCTCTATTGATGAACCGAGCAACATCGTCTTCTCTATTGATGAACTGAGCCATTCGGATACTTATGGTGTTCTAACTTTAAATAACGTCTTCTGTATTGATGAACTGAGCCATTCGGATACTGATGATGTTCTAACTTTAAATTCTGATGTATGATGGAGTGGATCAATGTTTGACTCGGATTTTGATGAGTTAACCCGTTAGCAAAGAGTCTATGCATCAAAATAAACAAAAACCAGTTTATAAAATTTTTGTAAATATAAACTGAAAACGTAAACGTTACCAAACACACCCTATGTGTTTAGGGTCTATTTTATATTTGTTAAGTTTGTTTATTTTAGTGGATTTATGTTGGACAATTTTTTCATACTTGCATGTTTTGATAAGCTAAAAATGTCAGCATCAGCGGCACTGATAAATTGATAATCATTAAAGAGAAGAAACAACTATAATTTGATAGACATCATATTTTATCCCAAAAAAAATATAAAAAATAAAATTTAACAATGTACCAATAGAATCTATCTACAAAATTTTTGAAACTATACACACTTCTGAAAGATACATACGGTATGCATTAAAAATTTCTGTCATAATGATTTATAACTTCTACGAATTTGGATCATAACCAAAGCCAAAGTGATTCACTTCAAAAGCACCACAAAAACTTCATAGCCAAGGCCATTTTTGCTCATAATAAAACAGCACAAAGCCTCGTAAACAAAATCACTTCAATTCACAACCAAATCCCACAAAGCCTCATGACCAAACACACCTTGAAAACCACATTTGCAATCAAGAATTAATCGTACTTACAAAACTCTTAATCAACTCAATGACATTGCAAATGAATCAATTACAGTTTCAAGGATTTGTGGCACTTATGGATATATGGCCCCAGAGTACGCCATACATGGAAAATTGACAACAAAATCTGACGTATATTCATTTGGTATGGTGTTGTTGGAATTATTGTGTGCCAAGAAGTTACGTACTTTTAGCCTGTATGAAGGTGACGAGTACCCCCTTGACCGTTGGTCCAAAAGTAGCTGCAAAAGAGGAACCATTGATCAAGTCATTGATCCATATCTGATTGGGAAAATAGCAACAGAATGCTTCAAGGAGTTTGTCAAGATTGCATTGAGTTGTATTCTTTTTCAGGTAATCCAACGACCCTCAATGGATGATGTGGTAACGAGTCTCCAGTTAGCATTGCAATTGCAGGAGACTTGGGAGACTCGTATCGAGATTGGTGTTGAGTTATCTATGACCGAACCTAGTTCTTACAACGTCTTCTCTATTGATGAACTGAGCAACAACGTCTTCTCTATTGATGAACCGAGGAACTTCTTCTCTAGTGATGAACTGAGCCATCTTCCTTCGGATACTGATCATGCTCTAACTTTAAATTCTGATGTAAGATGGAGTGGATCAATATCTGACTCGGATTTTGATGAGTTAATCCGTTAGCAAAGAGTCCGTGCATCTCTGTAAGAGAGCTTGAATTTGGTTCTTTTCACTTGTGTATATGTATGTCTTTGTTTCTTATGTGTGTTTAGTATCTTTTTTATGTTTGTTAAGTTTATTTATACTACTGGTTATGTTGGACAATTTTTTCATACTTGAATGTTTTGATGAACTAAAAATGTCAGCATTAGCGGCATTGATAAATTGATAATCATTAAAGAGAAGAAACAACCATAATTTTATGAACATCATATTTTATTCCAAAAAAAAATTTAACAATGCACCAATAGAATCTACGTACAAAATTCTTGAAACTATACACACTCCTAAAAGATACATACGGTATGCATTAAAAATTTCTGTCACAAAGATTCATAACTTCTACAAATTTGGATCATAACCAAAGCCAAAGTAATTCACCACAAAAGCACCACAAAAACTTCATAACCAAGGCCGGTTCAACTCATAATAAAACATCACAAACCCTCATAATCAAAATCACTTCAATTCCCAACCAAATCCCACACAGCCTCGTAACTAAACACACATTGAAAACTACATTTGTAATCAAGAATTAATCGTACTTACAAAACTCTTAATCAACTCAATATAAATAAATAAAGTATAATTTTTTTTTTTCCAATTTTCATTATTCTTCATAAATTTTTCTACAAATTCAAAAGTCAAACACAACCTAAAAATATCTCACAACAAAAACAACTTACTTCTTTTTTTAATTAAAAAAAGTCATTCATTATAGTAACTAAAGAGTGTGTTTGTTTGAACGGATTGGATAAGGGGAGACTGTAATCCACCGAACTGTTAGTCCTATAATACATTGTCCCCAAACTATTTGGTTGAACTGAATTTGTATCCTATGTTTGTTTAGTCATGGAATTAGATGTCTAGATTAGACTATTCTATTAAATCTTATGTTTGTTTGGGATATTATGGAAAATAATAAATGCTCAAAAGACTATTTTGCCCTTTTGAATTATTTACTAAATAATAGGAATATTAAATCTGAATTATAAATTTTATTTTATTTTTTTACTAGAACTTTTAAAAAATTAAATAAATAGAATATTAATAAAAATTACATAAATTTATTTTAATTTGTAGTTGAGATTTTTAAATTTTATTTTACTTTACTAAGTATAATTAATACGATATTACTAAAATAAATAATTTAATAAAGTATAAATAATTTATTAAGTATAATAGTATAAATAATTTAATAAATAAATTAAGCATAAATAATTTAATAAATAAATTTTGAAAAAGATATTAAATAGTGGAGGGTCAAAAATGTAATTTCATTACCTAATCCATGGGATGAGTTATCCTATGGATTATGTCCCACCCCCATAATCTCATAGATTTGAGATTCATAGTCCGGTACAAAAAATTTCAATCAAACAACGAATTATTAGTCCGAATAAACTATTAATCCTATCCCATACTTAAATCCTTCCAAACAAACATCACCGGAGTAAGGCCACAAGGTCGGTATCTAGTGTGGCTTCCACCATCATCCTTTTAAAAAGTTTGGATTCTCCATTTCATTGTAAGTGCTTCATAGTGAGAAGGAACAAAGTAAAGCCACAGAAGCCATGGAAACAAGCCCTACCATTATACCTCTCCATCTTTACTTTCTTCTACTCCTTTGCCTTCTTTGTCTTGATGTTTCTCTCTCTATGACCAGTGATGCAATTTTACAATGCAACGGATCGATAACAGAATTTAATATCGACTTGGAGATGGTGATGGCGTCAGAGGTAAGCCGAAGGTTTCTGGAGACAAAGAAGTATATATCACTAGGAGCTTTAAAGGGAAATCAACCAGTATGCAATGGTGGTGCAAGTGGTGAAGCTTACAGTAGGACTAGTGGTTGTCTTCCACAACAATCTAACCCTTATAGTAGAGGTTGCTCCAAATATTATCGTTGTAAGGGTGATTCATGATCCACCAAGGTTGGCCTTGTGGATAAGCACACAAAATCACTGCTAAAAGCCCCAATTTTTCACTCAAAAAGAGAATAAAATTATCCGTTTAATCCTCGTTCAAATGAGGGTCTCTATTCAAGTCCAACATCCAAAGAGCCATTTCATTTACATTTAGCAAGAAAAGAATGGAATCTAAAATTCAAAATTGAACAGAGTAGACATGTTATTCATTGAAAGTGATATATAGATGAGTTTTTTTTTTTTTTAACATATATAGAGATGAGTTTCATAGTAATTTTTCACTGGATCTAGTTCATTTTTATATTATGACTTTGGAATTTGTTTTTGGCTTTTTTTTTTACTCTTGTTATAAACTAGATTTTGCCAAACTATGAAACAAGACCAGATTTTATCTTTTTGAGTTCTTATAATGATTTCTTCAAATCTTAATGTACGGAAGCAAATTTTAGCATATAATTTAATTATATATACAAGTAAATTTTCTGTGGATGTGAGCACTTGTTATTTACTCACAATTTTTTCAAATTTTTTTTTTATGAATATGTATGAAGAATCCATCATAAAAGTTTGCTTAGGAACCAAAAAGCTCATGCTGTCACTACCCATGTTGCATTCCACTTTTTGATCAATTTGACATTTTGACATTAGTTGATCTCATTTTTCATGTCAAGTAAATGGACAGAAGGTTCAAACCATGTAACTCAACTTTTGGAAAACGTCTGATGAATAAGTATTTTGAAAGTTGTGAGACCTTCATACAAAATCAAACTAAATCTAAATCAAATTTCTTATGTTCCAATCATGTAGGATCAACTACATAATCTTCTTTCACCATTTGATTTATCTCATATTAGGATTCGTATCTAATGGGGATTTTTGTGTTGATTGTTAGGTTACTTAACAATTTATAGTTGTATTCTCAGGTTGCTTGGTAGATTAAATCAGTAAAAAGGAAGATTTTAAATTTAGCATTCTTTTACATCAATTTACTTAATTAGAGGGCCAAAAAAATATTAATAATTAGTGTAACATTTAACCATAAGAACTTATCAAAGGATAGGTCCTAACATAAGTTTGTTAACCCACATTAAAAACTGTTCGGGAGATTAAAAGTCTTAAAATTATCATCTATTGTCAGATGGCTTCACCCTTATATTTAAGATGCGCAAGGGTGTCAACAGTGTGTTTAGCTGTTAGGCAAATTTTTTCTTTTTTATTCTTTTTTCAATCTTTAAAACATCATCTTTCATTCTATGCATCCAATCTCTATAAATTTGATATTTATGAAATTTATTTATCGAGATCAAACAAATAAGATTCATATTGAATAAGAAATTATGTAAAAATAAAAATAAAAAACTGAGAAATTACTCAAAACTGTGAAATTTCTCAATTCAAATCAAAACAGTGAAACTTTTCAATTGCAAAACATGAGAAATTTCTCAAAACTACAAAACTTCCACCAATTCACAATTTTTCACAGTTTGCAAGAAAAAAATGGGTCAAACACCACTCAATAAGTCTCCAATATGTCGTCCAATGCTTTGCTAACTTCATCCTATGAGTAAAGATTGTTAGATTCAAGCTTGTTCAGCTTATCAAGAACCTGTGGCGGCACATGTATGGGCTTTTCCTGGTGTTGCTCATGTAGGCTCTTGTAAGGTGTTAGTGACGAAAACTGGATGGCAATATATGATATGCATTGACTACCTCAATTTGTTTAGGACATGATGGCAAAGGTATTCAATATGCTAGTTTACCTGAAAAACACAGCTCTTCTCGATATGCACATCATGACAACATAATGTGCCAGTTGTGCAGCAGACGATAAGCATCAGCAACTACCTCAATTCGTTTTAGGACAAGATGGGAAAGTTATTCAATGTGCTAGTTCATCATAACAACACAAATCTCGCAAACCTTGCAAGATTCCAATTACCGTAGACAACCAGCAAGGTTGTTAGTGACTAAGGGTTGTTTGGTATAGGTTATCTAAGCTGCTTATATCCTTTAGTGCAACTTCTGATTACAACTTATAAGGTAGAAATAACATGAATAAGCTAAAAAAAGTTGATCATCTAGAAGTTGGGAGAATGGTACTTTTGACTTTCTGCTTTCTAATTATCAACTTTTAATTTAGAATAAACTACACCAAACAGGCCCTAAGGATTTTAATAGGTGAGGGACTATCTTTTGTCAACTTGGAATGAAGGGACCAAAACAAGGTAATACACGTTTGATTTGCATTAGCACGATATGCCAATGAGTATTTTGGTTATTTGGTTACATTCACGCGCTAAAAACTTGAGGTGAAACTTAGGCCTCGTTTGGAAACTTAACTATTTTAAATGACTTTTTAGCTATTTTTTGAGGAAAAAAAAAAATTTAAAAAAAAAAATTGAGTTTGGAATGATTTGTAGATTTTTTTTTTTTTTTTTTCTAGTTTAATAGATGATTGTGAGAAAAAATAATTGATTAATGTGTAAGATGTAACATTTTGTCTTATTTTAGCTTCTTTTTTTTTTTTCTATATTGGCTATTTTAGCCAAAAAAGTTGTTTCCAAATAGGGCCTTAATGTTATATAAGTACATTATACAAGAACATCGTTTAAAATCCCAAAAAACACATTAAAAAATATCAATATTCACAGTTCCGTTTTTCTCCTTTAACCTCTCGCAAGATGAGTTTGAATACCACTACTAGAAAAAATGGTACCTATAAGATAAAGTGAGATACGGGCCATTCCAATTTCCATGTACCATATTGCTTTGTCATATAAAATGGCAACTTTGGCAGCCAAAGGGTGGCGAGAGCAAGACAAGAAATCAATCAATCTACTACAAATTCCTTTATTTTAATAGATATCCTCGCCCATTTTTTTTGTCCAACCTAGAATCAAATCTATGCCTTCATGTTGGGTGTCTTTTATTTCTCCTAGTTATCAAACGAAGACGTGTCTTGTTGTCTGCATCTACAACTTCTAACTCAAGAACACATTCTCCAGAGGGGGCCCTCTTCCTTAGGAGTCATTTCTGTTAGCAATGGACTGCCTTCTGAGATTGTTAGCAGTCTCGACATTCCTTTTCTTTACCAGCACGATGTCGTCAAATAAAAGGATGTCTTTTCTTGCCATTCCCCATTCTCAAACTTCTACTTGTGAGGGCCTGAGCCATGGAATTGGATAACAAAACTTTTCTTGGACATTGTTTTTCTTCTTCCTAAGCCTACGCCACGAGGTGAGACAAAAGAGAAAAAACGGGGAAGGCCTTCTTATTTTGAGGAGAGTACTAAGTAATAAAGAGCTTGCTAGTGAAGGTCTCAGAGCAAGGAGAACAGAACAATCAACAAAAGAGAAGAGAAGAGGTCCATGATCAAAGATGCGAGAAGGTGAATCAGTAATCACTCATGCCACAACTAATGCTAATGAATCCTCCTACAATAACAAGGCAAGTTAAAAAGAAGAGATACCGATCAGTCAGAGTACTTCCCTGATAGAGCAAGTATAGCACTACCTAAACTAAACATTAGAGATGTTTTTGCTCCCTTCACTTCCGTTTCAAAGTTAAGGACGAGCACCCCTACTGACCAACTCCCAACTCATGGAGATGATTGTGCCTGACATCATCATCCAAAAGCTCAAACATGCCAACAGCATTCCGTTCATTTACGCAATATTTACTCGTTTACTTGTTAGCTACTGCTGTTCCACACCCTTGCTTTCAAGGAATCTAAGGAAAGAACGTAATAAGTGGCAAACAAAGTTTACTCACTCAAAGGAAATAAAAATTGCCTCTACCGCCAAGAGAGGAAGTGAATAGTTGGCTCGAAGAGGGAAGAGATGCTCCTACTCGCTTTGCTAGAAAGTTAAGTGACTAGTTTACTGTTGAGAGGTAAAAAAAAATAATAAAAATAATAAAAAAAAAAAAAAAGAGGACAGATAGGCTAAAGAGGGCTTAAGTGCTAGCTAGTGTTAAAGAGCTTGTTGGATGACAGCAGAGAGAGCAGACTAGACTAACTCCCACTTCTGTATTCCAGTTTACAGAAGGCAAATGGCTGGCTTGGTTGTCTAGTCCCACCTCTTCATCCTAAGCTCTTTTCATCCATACACAAGCATACTCTTCTCTCTAGTCAACTACCCTATCTCATTAGCGAAGCTAGAGTACATTAGTAGACTGCTTTCTTAGTTAGATAATTGTATTGATAAAAATAAATAAACTTTTCCCCCGGAAGTCTAGGTTGCTACTCTTCAAGTTAGAGAAGAACTTCCACAATTTGGGGACTGGCTTCGAGAGACCGTTTTGGTCCACACTAGAGAATTCAGTCTCTTGGGCCGGGCTCTATTGGGCAGAGGATCACCTTTCTTTACTCGACGAGCAGGAAACAAGACACACGCTTAATTAGAGAGGTGAACCAGCATCAATTCTGAACCAGAAACAAACCCTTAGTTTTCGTATGATTAGATTAGGCCATAGCTAGATGAACCAAATTGATCCAAAACATAGTCAGACTTGCATGTGTGTGATTGGGGCTTTTGATAAACGAGTTAAAGATACTGATGACTTGTCATCGCCTACTTGAAAGTCCTCACAAGTACCAGAAAGTGAGATGCTCTAGACTAAATTCATGAAAAAGCGAGCCCCTCTTTGAAAGGTCCTTTGAACTAAATATGCAACCATAGCTCTCTTGTACCGCCAATACGAAAAGAACCAACTTTACTGTTGAGTGCCTACAATGGGAGTATTAGACTTCAAATCTTGAAAGAGCTTGACGGATGGATTCTTTTTTTCCCAAGAGCTAAAGCACCCAAGCAAGAAGGGGAATATTCTCTAAACCAACTTCCCTAGAAGTATAACTTCCCCAAGAAATTGACATCTGTCTTTTCCCAAAAACAAAGTGGATTTCTTCTCTAAGCAAAGCTATCCTCCCTAAGCTTTAAAAAATGGGGCTAAACTGACAAACCTACCTCTTTCTACAAGCGCTGGAACTTGAGTATTGAAGCTGAACTACTAGCTTTCTTCGGTTCCTTCTCTAGTTTAGTTGCAGGTTCAACTCCATTGAAATCTTAACTTACAGTCGTTCCTTCCTTCACTTACAAACCTAGAGGTCAAAATCATGATCCCATCCCTTCAACTATCAGTCCATTAACTAAGAAGGGGGCCTAGGACAAAAACTTCACCATCTTCCCCAGAACCCCCTACGTTGACACTTTCTAAAAAGGAAGTTGAATATCTGTTTTTCTTTGGCACCATCCCTGGTTCATACCAGGATGTGTTCAGAAGTGTATAATCATTCTTGCACAATGCAGCAAAAAAAAAAATCATATTTTTTTAGGAAGAAAAGAACTCTTTCCTATTTTATATTTTTTTAGGGCAGTCGTCCTTCACTTTTTGGGGGGCTAGGAGCATATGAAGCCTTACTTCTTGGCGGGCAACAATTAATAGTTTTGCTGCAAGCCTGCAGCATGGCTATGCAGCAAACGTGCACCAGCTTGAAAGTGAGGAGTTTGGCACGTTTGAAAACATATAGGCTGAATGCTAATTTTGTCGTTGAAACCAAAGCCCAAGTAGGCCGCCGCCTAACCACAGCTCTTTTTTTTTTTTTTTTTTTTTGGACAGATAAAAAAGATTGCATTATTAAAAACTAAGAAGTTACATGTTGGCAGTACTCAACACCCCTAACATCTTCAAATAATTGGAATGAGATACAACCCGGAATAGTAGAAAAAACAGTGAAGAACCATTTTGGTTAAAACCTTCTACTGATAATATGCCTGAACACTTGTTTCCCTCATGATTGTTGTCCATAGACTATGACAATTTTTTAAGAGAATCATGCCAACCACAACTGTATTCCAAATCCAGGTTGGTTAAAAATAAAAAAAAATTAACAAACAAAATGTCTAATTCCAAAACCCTCACACATCACAAAATTAGGTTCACCTAGATGAATCATGTTCCTCGAATCCAAACTATGAATCAGATTGAACATGTTACAGAAGAGCAAGAGTAAACCACAATATTTTATACGCTCAGGACACATACATCAATTTTGTGCTGTAACATTGTCAAACTTGACCCTCATATATGAACCTAGGTCACAATTTGACTAGACAAACCCTTCATCTAGTAAATCAAAATCTACTTAAAATCAAGTTTCTAGACCTTTCAAACATTGAAGGAACCACCACGACTTGAGCAACCAGGTTAGTTGCCATAACACCTGCAGAAAGAGGACTGTCTTACCAATACCCACACCATACAAGCTTACTACAGAATGTATTCAGGAGGCACCTACCAGCTTGCAAGAGTAAAGCACAAAAACAAAAGACAAAAAAAGGAAATAATTTGGAGGGAAATAAAATAAAAAGAACAAGAACTGAGGAGCCTCAAAATACATGCATGATGTCTTTATATGCTTGAATAGACAAGTTGATATGATTCTTGCTATTGTCTCACCAGAAGATTGCAATATGAACACTGATACCATGTTGAATTATTGGCCATCAACTCATCTAAAAGCTTAGAGAGAGGGCTAACTTATTTTATCCTCAATGGTCCAACTATTCACAAAGTTTTCTAGACAGACTCACATTCAAAATTTTGGTAGCCAAGAACATTAAACATCAAAGGAATGGGATCCGTACTTTAACTAAACATTATTGGATCACGTCAACAAACATTCAAAGCTGAACATGCTTATATCCCATAATTCTTCATCATCAAAGATAACTATATTCCTTGGTGACTCTACATGTTCAGTAATGATAAACTTGCTCTTAATTCTCCTGGTTGGCTGCAATATCTTTAAGCATTTCCTTCAACTCGCCAGTCTACATGACAGACCAAACCATTAAAGCAATGTATACCAGGCTAAAGAATAACAATTTTGGTATGAGAATACCTGGTGCATGTTGAGAATGATGTCTGATCCTCCAACAAACTCCCCCTTGATGAATATCTGTGGAAACGTGGGCCAGTTGCTGCAATGAAAGACCATGGGACAAATTGAAACAATTACAAACTAGACATTTTTTTATCAACATTTTGGACCAAAATGGTTGATTAGGTAAAGACCAACAGCAACTCCATTTGCAAATGTTGTTTCTCAGTAATTTGCATCAATTAATCAGGAGTCATGACAACTGAGCTTAATAGCTTATTCTCACAAATGATCCCAACAACGTGTGCAACGGACACACAGGCAACCTTGCGGATATATATATGACGCAACCACATCCTGAAAAATTCAATCAAGATTTGGCCATATATATAAAACAACAAATGAAGTACCATTTAAAAAAGAAGGGCAAATTACAACAACCTCCCCTAACTATTGCCCAAATAACAACAGGCCCAATAGTATGGAGAAATGAGACCGGCATCCCCTAATGCACCTCAAAAGTTAACTCCGTTAATAGAAAATGTGAAGTGATAAAAATGCCCTCTCTAGGGGTGTAATTTTGGCCCGGCCCGAGTCGGCCTGCCGTCAGGCCTGTCAAGCTCCCACCAAAAATCGGGCCAAGCCACTTGTGCAAAATCTAGGCCTAGTGGGTAATCAGGTCAGGGGCGGGCTTGACTTTTTTAGTTTAAAAAAAAAAAAAAAAAAAAAACAAAAATAGCTTAAAAATTAAGTTAGGTGTCGGGCGGGTCAAGCCTCAGATTGGGTCAATGGGCCTTGGGCTAGGCCGGGCCAAAAAACCCATGGCCCATGCCCTACCCTCAGGGGATATGGCAAGGCCTGGTCTGGCCTTAGGCCGACAAGCCATTCTTACACCCTACCTCTCTCTATCTTTCTCACCTTCCTCCACCACACTCCTCTACCCCAAGCCTCTTATTAAAGCATAGCCCTCTCCACCCTATCTCACCCTCCAATTCTCCCCTATAACAATCCAACACCGACCACTGCCACCACACACAAAGAACAACAAAACCAAAAATCAATACAATACACAACAAAATCAAAACAATACAAAACATAATCAAGCCAAAAAAAAAAAAATCCATAAGTCAAGAAATCAAGGAAGAAAAACATATACCAAACGTGTTCAATTGATAAAAGTAAGGGGGGCTTTGGAGTTAGAAGGTGTTGGATGATGGCGCTAGGGTTGGGGTCGCAGCTAGGATTGCGCTGGAGGCGGCATTGGAGGGCCATGGAAGACAATAGGGTTTGACATGGAGGCCATTGGTGATCATCATCAGCATGAACCTAGAGCCAAGCTATATATCTCTCGTTTGTATCTGGGCGAGAAGGTTGGGTGGCAAGCACATTAAGGTGAGAGGTTGGTGGCAGCACGATGGAATTGAGGGAAGGAAAGGCGTGGTGTTTGGGGAGCTGAGGCAGCGGCATGAGGGAAAGGATCGTTGGGGGCAGTGGGGTGGGGTGGGAGGTAGCCGTGGCAGGGGAAGGGGGAACGCAAAAAGAGGGGAAATAGATGGGGAAGAAGAGTAAAGTGACTAAAAGTAAACTGGTAAAGGTTAAAGAGTTGACCCATTTCTTGAAGGGTAAAAATAGAAAATTTAATCCAAAAATTATCGACACCATAATATTCCATCCATCTCTCTTTCTTGACACCTAACAGCAAGGCACTCAATGATATGCCTACTCAAATGTTAGGGGAGTCAATGTCATTGTCCTATGCTAATGGGATCAGTATCTATGAAGCAGTGACACTTCAAAATAGGTGTCGTGGTTGTGTCCATTTTTTTTAGGGTACACAATAGGGGTGCGTGTAAACATGGCGAGAGACACGTTAGACATGGTGGGACACAATTTGGGACACGACAAGTCTTTTTTTAATTTTTCAAAGCTAATTTCTAGGGTCATATTACAATATTTGGAAACAAAAGGATTGGTTTTTTAAAAAAAATAAAAATCATATGAAATCATCGGCCATGTAACACACATCTAAAACACATTTGTGAAGTGGAGAAACAACCTTCTAACAATCCTTGGAGCCTAATGCAGCACAGATTTAGGGGTTGTTTGGAAAGTGCTAAACTAGTATGCTTTTTGACTTTTTACGAAAAAATGTGAAATGTGGGTTGGGGTTGAAGTGATGTACCAAAGAGGTGATGTGACCCAAATAAGAGGTGATGTGATCTAAATAAGATAATTGTTTAGCACATGCCAAACAAAGCCTTAGTCGCTGGTTAATTAAAATTTAGTTTTTTTAAGTCAAATTAGTGTTTGTTTTTATTAATTTTAGTTGTTTCTGAATGTAATATTTACATACATAGCAAATAAAATATTTTTTTTACGTATACCCCCATTGTATCCATGTCCTGAATTTTTTGAAATTATCATGTCCCATGGCCTGTGTCCATATTTCCAAGGCAATTGTAATTTGGGCAATTGTTAGGGAAGGTCCGTGTAATTTCCCAAAAGATAAACATATACCTTCATCAATAAGGCAACAAGGAAACTTACTATAAAAGTAAACTGTTGAAATGGAAATAAATTTGATAAATGAAAAACTGCCTGAACAAGTGTTCACCGACTTTTGAAAATATTCTGGCATGGCCATGTATCCTTTAGACACTGTTGGATGGAGCATTCAATTAGATAAATTGTAACCTCACTTGAAATAACTGCTACTCAAATACATCATTAGGAAATTCATTTTAAGTTCCACTCCATGTTAATTTTAGACTAAATATACTCTATTTTTATGATATCATGTTCTTAAAACAAGTTCTTTGCCTACTTTTTCTTTTTTTACATGGATCCCCTGAGGTATCTACAAGGGAGGTCCTTGTAATTGTCAGATCCCTCAGGAGAGGTCCATGTAATTTGCCCAAAAGATAAGGAAACAACAAGAAACATTAAGTCTCACATTAAAAAATTATTCACTGACATCAGCTACTTTTATTGCAAGGGGGCAATTGAAAAGATGTAATCTATGCACTAGCTCAGTCCTTAAAACATCAAGAAAACAAAATGCAAAAACAGGACATGCAGTCATACACCTTGAAAAACTTATACAATTTTACAACCATTGCCCCTGATGCAAACTCATATCTCCCAATAAACAATAATGTCAATTATTACAGTAATTTGAGTTCATCCTGTATTATTAAGAATTGCCAATAGGAGGGTCCTTTATATCTGACAAGCAGGCTCTTGCTGCTCTTTAGATGTATAACAATGCCAAATGGATGTTCTAAAGAATGATGTCAAGTACTACGTTACCTGAATGATTTGACAGCATTCTTAAGCTCAGGGTTTTCCAATATGTTTCTGGCACTCAAAGGAACATCTGAAAAAAGCATATCAACAGTAAGAATGCCACAAACAACTTAAAGTAGTCAAGTCAGCAAGGTGCAAGGCCGAGCTCAAAGTTCAAAAAGTACGGCACTAAATAAAATTCCAGCCACAAAATTAGCTCCAGTCAGCTCCTCTCTTAGAGCTTCCATTGTCTCGTCTTCTTGTACTTCCCTAAGACAACTTAAGCCAACTACATGGTCATCTCTCACAATTATTCTTTTTCTTTTTAAAAACAAAAACAAAAATGCTCTTTAATTTGTCATTTTGACATAGTTGACTAAACACCCAAAAGCAAGTTTTGGGTGGAGATATATCAAGAAGCACGGACACTTCTAAAGAGGTGGTGTACAACGACACGACAATGACACTAGTCAGACACATCCAAACGTGTCCAACTATTTTTAAATTTTTTCAAAACTTGGACACGATTCAGACACTTGTAAAACACATGTCTATTGTTTAAACACATAAAACACATTATAAGTTTGAATAAAATAACTTGGAATCCAACAATAAAAAATAAAAATAAAAATAAAAACAAAGTAAATTCATACCTATTCTCATCTTTTTTAGACTTTAAAAACTATTATCTCTGAATTGATTATTCACATATATGACATATACTAATGGTTTATTCTTATATATGCCATACAATAAATATATAAAATCATATATTTTGCATGTGTCCCCCACATGATGTGTCCTTTATTTTTTTGAAAAATTATGTGTTAGTGTGTCGATGTTGTGTCCGTCTCGTGCCACATGCCCGTTTCTATACTTCTTAGAAGGTATGTGTTCAAGTGTCAAATTGATCTAATATTCATATCCAAGGATACCAGGACAAGGCTAGAGGTCATATTTATAAAATATTTCTTTTATCTCTTATGATAAAATGAAGTTTACAAACTAACATAATGGGAGTATTGTGCGTAGTAAACCTGACTACTTATCCATACTTGATGGGTGCATCTCTAAATAAGCATGTTGGTCACATATCATATACGCTATACCCTTACTCAAGTGTTCAGTGTCTAACACAGATACTTCAAAAATTTAGAAGAGGCCACCTACCATACCAAATAGTCACATATAGACCACATAAAAAAGCATAAATTATTCAAGCTCATATAAATATATGGTTGCTCAAGCCTCAACTGAACCAGGGAATGTATGAATATTGTTGTAAAACGAAGCAACAGAACACGTACTATATTCTTTCAACACTCTCACTGCTAATGAGCTGAATCCACACCGAGGAAGATCAGGCACTCCTTTCATGTAAATCATCACAGGGTTGTCATTGACATCCTGCCATAAAAGCCAAAAGCTATCAATAAAAAAGACTAGAAAACAAGACTAAAACTTTAATCTGGATAATTAGAGAGAGAGAGAGAAAAAGCTTAAGACTCAATTTCTAATGTGAAAGGTACAGATGACTGCTGTCAACCTGCTTAACAATGTCCTTCAAAGAAAGGTCAGAATCCTGAAGCTTATTAGTGGGCATGAAGTCCTCATGTGTGTCAGGATCATTTGGCACAGTAGTTGAGAATCGGATCCCATGGTGGTTAAAGGATCCAGCTGCCTACCAACAATTAAAGCAAAAATATTAGCAAATCATTTCTATGATCAATCATTAAGAACGATTTGTTCTAAACATGAGACCAGACCACACGCTGCTTAAAATTTCAAGAAAGCCTTTTTTTGGTCAATTTTTCTGAGTGTAGTTTAACAATTAAAGCATATTTTGTTTGCAGTTTATGATGGTGTTTGGGAAGTGAGTTTTTATGTAGATTTTAGTAGATGTAGGTTTTTATGAGATAAAAAATTTTTGGTGTTTGGGAAGATAGTTGGGTTTTTATGTGGTTGGATGTGATGTTTGTGAGAGAAAAAGTGAAATGATTATGGGGTTGGATGTGATATTTTGTTTGTATGTGTTTTTTTTGGTTTTGCAAAACTTTTGTCTTTTAGTGGAAAAAATGAGAAAAAAATTTGGGAAGTTGCTTCCCAAACACCACCTATGATTAAGGATCCAAGAAATCTAGAACCAGATGGTTTTGAACATCTTAAAAATTAAGTGGTTTCTTTGCTGCAGGAAGAGTGCATGGAACAGTCTCCTACATAAGTGATTCTCTTAGCCAGTCCAAAATTATTGTGCAGCAGCGGCAGAGTGCTACAGTCCTAATGCAAAAAATTAACATCGAATGATTGATAAGTTGGTAAGGGTGACTACAGTCCTAAGATTTTAAGGTTTGTTGGGGTGACTAAAGGGTAAGGGTAAGAAATGAAAGGAAAGGATTTTGGTGCCTGTTTTGGGTGATGTGTACAGTACCCTGCTAAATTTTGACTCTTTTGTGTGCAATAATTGTAGAATGATAAAGGGCTGACCTGAGATGGTTTGAAGGGTTTATTGAGATAAAATAAAGTTCAATCAAGATTTAGAAAGAAGGTTCAATCAGATCTGGTTAAGGGGGTATTAGAGGCTAAAAGTGTAAAAAGATTTAAGAAAAATGAGGAAAACAAAATTCTAGGCACCACACCTCGATACCATATTGCAATTTGCATCACATGATCACACAATACCAAAAGAGTTACAAAAACCTCCACAAAATTCTCCAAAGCGCATTCTCCATTGAATAGGAGCATTACAAGGCTTCCTATACACTTTAGAGCTAAGTAGCACAAACACAAACATGCAACACGACACTGACAAGCCGACATGTTTTATTTTCAAATAATGCAAGACATGACACACTTTGGACACGTTAAGATTTTTTTATTTTTTTTAATTTATTACATGTCATATATATGAATAATTTATTCGACGATAATGAAAAATATGTAACATAGCACTTATTACATTAAAAAGTTATATATTTCATAACTTAAACATTAAGATATCATTTACATAATAATTACATTTTAAAGAATGCAAAATAAATATAGAACATTGAAATACACATGATGTATTCATCTAATAAATGTTTCAAGAAGCGTTGCCGAAATGTCCGCAAAAGTGTCAGTAAGGTATCCGATATTATGAATTTTATATTTTTAATTAAGACACACTGTAAACATGCTGTAGAAGTGTCAAAAACACTTTTAGAAGTGTATGGAGTGTGTCAGTCGGACACGACACCCTTCCTCCCAAGAAGTTTATGTACTTCTTAGCTTGAGAGAACTAATTTACTTGGACTACTAAATAGGCAACAATACTTTTAACAAAACCTATTTAAACCCAACTAAAACATATATTTGAAAACCTAATAATATAACTTGACCATATTATGACCCATAGGCTACAGCCTATGTTCATAATTTTTGCAAATTACCAAAATACCTTTAATCTACCAAAAAAATATAAAAAACTAATCCGTAGTGTATTTAACATAAAATAAACATAAACAAGACTTTATTAAGATAAAAAAAAATACTATGCATTGCTCCTATAGGAACTAACATAAAGCATTCCAATTTCTTATTTAACTTACTTCTTCTTCTTGTGGACGGCATCCATTTCCATAGATGCAATTTTCTAAATTCTAAGCTGACACATGAGTAGGCTAGAATATGTAAATGTGGTTGATCTTGCAGTAGCACAATCTATTATTACAAAATCTGTTTCATTTATATTCCTATGTTTCTAAAGAATTAGATTACCCAAACTCAAAACAAACAATGTTTCAGATGCAAACAAATTTAAACTTGCATGAATCTCACTTCAATAATCACGTGTAAAGGAGGAAAACGTGGTTTATGGCTTTCATGAACAGAAAGATCAAATAGCAAGCATGACAAATCTGATCACGTTCATTTATCTGACAAAGCAACAATATTAAGAAAACTTCCCATAACCTAGTGAACCTTTTATGTGTATGAACATATGAAACCATGGTTAAGGAACATATGACATAATGATCTAGGCAAGAAACACTGAATAACTTTTCATGTGAAGAACTTAATGTCTCACAACTTAAACTAGTAATTCACTATGAAACAAAAAATGCAACTAGCAAGGATTAAGTAATAATTATTGAATGACCATAAGAATATTATCATTTTGAATTTCTTGAAATTGCTTTAGAATTTGGAAAGACAATGTATAAAGAAGTTCAAAGTTGTAAGAGGCTCTAACTAGAAATAAGAAGTGAATTTGAAAGCAATGGTCAAAAGGCATGCATAGATGTTATTTTTTATCAACAATGCCATGGAGCCACAAAAAAAAATAAAAAAACAAAAATAAAATAAAAAAAGGCCCAAAAAGTGACCAGAAAGTGAAGTGTGCGGGCTAAATTCATTCCAGTTGAGGCCCACCTCATACTAAAAATTTGAATTACACCATACAATTCATTCTCTAATCATTTTCCAGGCTATTTTTTTCTGTCTCCATCAGTGTTGTTAATACCGTTCCGTACCAGAAGGTACCGCCCGAAATGTGCCGTTCAGGAAGAAAAACGGGACACAGCTACTCTAACTCCGTATTGGCTATGTTCTCGGCTTGTACTGGACAGTTTCAGTCATTGCGGATAATATCAGCCGGAAACCTTCATCTTGTGGGATACACCAGTACACAATCTGAAAAAAAAAATTAGAGATTTTGATACAAAAACAATGTTGTTGAGGGCTGGACTGGTAGCCATGAGTGACAACAATGGCAGGTTAATAATGGAGGAGGGTGCTCTATGATATGGGACTTCTTTTTCTTCCGTAGCAGATCTTGAGCTTCTTCTTGGCTTTTACAACTTTGATAGCCAGAACAAATTCGACATCTTATTGTGGGTTTGCTTTACTTCACCTCTTACCCTTTTTCATACAGTTAACTCTCTCTACGTTCCTCTCAATTCCTTTCTCTTCGATTTTATGTCCTAGATCTAAGTTTGATTGGGGGTATCTTTGTTTTGCTTGTACTGATATTTATGTATGTCAGATGTTCAATAAAATGCCACTAACATTGGCTGGCTTTTACTACAACATTTTTGTTAAGTTTTTTTTTACTCTTCTGGGAATGCATGGTGGCTTGGTGGTTGGTGCTCATACAATGCCACTAACAGTGGCTGGTTGTCATCCATCCATGCTATAATTAACCTTTGTTTTTAAAGGAGAGCTTATGTAGGAACCCACATTCTATGTCTTCGTCATGTTCATGAGCATCTGTATGATTATGGCTTGTTGAGCTTGCATGTGAGTGAAATCCATGCCTTGTTTGAAGCCTTGTGATTTGTCTAAGTGTTGTATGCTTGTCTTGTTCCTTCCTTGATGTGAAACTTAGGTCACGCCTAGCCTGAGTTATGTTAGCCGATGTTATTCCAAGCCTAGGTTACGTTATGCCTAGATCATTCCAAGCCGAGGTCATCCTCAGTCTAGAAGTGTCTTGGAACCCCTCCAAACATGCATCTAGGTTTTATATAGCTAAAACCCTATCTTTTGTAAATTTACACAAAAGCCCCAAACTTTCACAACATTACCAACCCAACCCCAACATCTCAAAATGCTAAAATTTAAAGACAAAATCCATAGTGAGGAGTAGGTTATCCCTACCTCAAAGAATGACACCCAACCAAGAAGATGATGGAAACGAAAATGCTCCAAACGACGAACTTTTCGGATCAAAAGATAGCCCTCGACGATCCACAACATTTTTGTAAAGGCCAAAGGTGAGGAAATCACTCCTACTAGATCAATACCTAGAGAGAAGGTAGAGCTCTAGAGTGAGAAGCTCAACAATGGCATTTTTTTTTGAAAAGTAAGAGAGAGAAAGGATGAGAAAAAGTGATTTAAAACTATCTCACAGCCAACTGATATACGACATTCTCGCTCGAGCAAAAAACACAACGCTCGAGCGTCAAGAACAAAAACTAGGTCCGCTCGAGCACAAAAATACCCGCTCGAGCGCCAAGACACAAGAATAAAGTAAACCCGCTCGAGCGCGAAAACCAGTCCGCTCAAGCGTAGATTTCCTGCTCCGAGAACTTACACCCAAAGGTACTACCCACTCGAGCGCCAAAGTACCCGCTCGAGTGCCATCGCTCGAGCGTAGACAAACCCTCTCGAGCGTAAAAATCACACCTGCAGAAGTTTTGTAGGGACACGAAAATACTGAGGTTGTGCAATCCCCGCTCGAGCCCAAGAAGACTCGCTCGAGCGGACTGCCTAAAAACTGGGCAACAAGGAATTGAAACCAACGCCTAACCAACCTGTAACAACCCTGCTCAAAACATCCTAAAACTCAATCATGTGGAATTAAAGGATGACAACAAGATAGATACCACTACCAACTTCACGGAACCGAGTCCGGACTACAACAGAACCGTAGAAGGACAACCGGGATCGCTATAACCTCCCCCCTTTAAAGAATTTTGTCCCCGAAATTAAACACAAGTTTTTCAAAAACAGGTTTTCCCCATTCTCAACAATATTACAACACATGTTAAACAACCCGACCTATTACCGGTCAATCCCATCTCTTTTCAAGAGGCATTTCACAACATATATTACAAGTGCATTATCAACATGCAATTTTCTTCTATTTCCAACCATTTCCAACATACATGGTTCACAGTTCATATCATAATCAATATACATGAT